TTTTTAAATCAGGGTAAATTATGAAATATTTTTCAGGCGGAGGTACTAATACGGCTGAGGCAGTTAGACTTGCCTACAATATCATGAAGACAGAAGAAGAGAAATCCCAACAGATCCAACAGATTATGATATTACTAACGGATGGGAGGTCAAATGATGAATCCGCTCTAGAGAGAGAGGTCAAAGTTGCAAAGGCAAATCTCACAGGTGATGATTTATCCATCATGGTGATTTTAATGCTGCTAGCTGTTCACAGGAAGACAAATATAACTTTTGCAGAATTAACCTCTCGGTTCAATTCTGTCGTTCTTKACAATGGCTACGGCCCTTGTTCTGTATTGTTTTTGTGAAGGGAGAAAAACTGGAAAACCTTGAGAAATTCCTTTGAAGAACGTAACAAAATCTGAGGATAAAAACCAATAGTACCAGCGGTCATTGGGGGATGCATAATTAGCAGCGTACCGCCTCCCATGAATAAAAATCAGAACGAAGAATGTCGTTGCGCAAAAAACATTTTTCAATAAAAATCTAACGTATATAAAGCTCCTGCACGTGGTGTGACAAAATAGAATTGCCGCGATGATTGTCATGGAATCGAATGTCCGCACCAATATTCTTTATGCAACTAGCACAAGCAAGCACGCCCTGATCATCATGGTCTTAAAGACTAACATGATTCCCTTCTTTACCAGGTCTGATATGAAGTATCTTTCTCTTTGCACATAGGCGTAACCATGATAGCCATTGGTGTTGGAGGGTACGACAGACATGAACTCGAGATGATTGCGACTGATCCCACCAATCACGTGTTTACGTCTACAGATTTTGCACAGCTGACTGACCTGGTGAAAACGTTACGCAATAAAACTTGCGACAGTAAGTTGAGCACATTGTGGAACCAATTATAACTGTGCCAGATATATGATGCCGGAATGACTAGTATAAATAGTCAGGCGTTAATATCAATTAATTGCACGCGCACGGGCTCTCCTTCGAATTTTTATCGATACCCYGAAACAAYATCTAGATTGATCAAAGTCAGGACTCGACCGGAAAACATGAAGGAMAGATCCTTTAATGGCCTCTTGGACTCGGCTAACTTACAATTCAAATTAGAATTTATATTCAGTTRGGTTTTGTGGAGGGAGGGAAAGCGGAGAAGCCGGAAGAAACCCTTGAATGAAGGGAGAGACCTAACAAACTCTCCMCACAATTATAGTGAGTACTATTAGTCCGACAACCCAGAGTTGAGATGCGAATGCATCTTAATTTAGCGAAGCTTGCTTTCGATAGGAGCGTGGAACTTGTAAACTTGGCGGAGTTACTTGTTACTCGTCTTCTGTACTCGCCGCCATGTTATTATATTATTATTATTATTATTATTATTATT